ATATATATATATATAGATGTATATACCATAACAGGCAGAAAAATAAGCATTTCTTTCTTACACACAATAAACTGGGGATGTTTTTTACACATAGTAAACTGGGATCTAACTAAAATCTTACTTACCCACAGTAGACTGGAGACCATTTGTACACAGAGTAGACTGGGGACCTATCTTACACACAAAAGAGTGTGGACATTTCTTACATACAGAAGGTCTAGACATTTCTTACACACAGTAGACTGGGGATATTTCTTACACACAGTAGATTAGGGACATTTCTTTACACACAGTAAACTAGGGACCCTTGTTTTGATTTAATCATACAGTTTATTTTTTATATTTCAGTATTTTACCAAATATAATTCACATTAAATCAAATTAAATTTGTGTTGCTCTAAATGAGGTGTCCCCCTAAAAATTTTTGATCGAAACTAATTTTATGATTCCATGTAGTTAAAGTGTATTGGTTTCACCATATTTTTAATCCACATTTTCCTCAACTTAATCTAAACAACATTTTGCGAAAACTTATTTTATTGTTACATGTACCAATGCAGTCTTATGTGTTCTCAAAACATACTGTGGACTGTTTTCCTTATTGTAAAAATATGTCAAAACTATTTTCAAGATTTTTTTAATAAATTTATTTAATTTATTTTAAAATTAATTATGTATTGTCAAAACTATTTTCTCTCCTGAGTTACAATTACAATTTTAAGTATTTTACTTAAGGTATTGCTTTTTTCGAGTACCAAACAAATCATCTTTAAGAAGGAAGTAATAACATTAAAATAATATTAAAATATTATTACTATATTAGCATTAAATACTTTTAATGGATGTCATATTAGTTAAAATTTAGGTATATATATATATCTATGTATTAAAAAATTGTTTGCACACTTGGCTGTCCCACCTCTATTTTGGGTGTTCAATATTACATTATATTTTGTTTTTGTTGCACAAATCTGACTTAAAAACGTGAAATGAGGACGGTGTGCAGAAAATTGTACAGGAAATGCATTTGAATAAAAAAATTAACTTTGGATAATTAGTTCAAAAATTATTAGCCGCAAAACTTGTAGCAAAAAATCACATCCTACTGCTCCACAGACTATAGAAATTCAACTATAAAACTATTATAATTTAAACTATGGAATTAAGCCCAATTAACAACTTGATGAAATGAAAGTACAAGGTTGAAAGTTGACTTGCTGAAAGGACATTTTCATTTAAGAAAATTCTCATTCATATACTCTTGCTTGAATTCATGTCCAAAGTAACAAAAAAATTCTAACTTAATGTCTTGAAAAATAGTAACTTTTATTCACTATTTTTAAGGCTTATTTATTTTGACTTCTCATATTTTCTTCTTTCCCCCCACCCATTTCAATTAAAAAAAAGAAAGAATTTTTTTTTTAAATGTTAGTTTTTAATGCTTTTAGTATAGATTGATCAAACTGTATGTTAAAATATCATACCTGGAAGAATTTTCACAAAACCCCAAAAAAAAATAATTTTTACTGTGAAGTTAGAAAGGTCACTGTTTTGCAATGTGTGAGACAAGTGTGTATGAAATCCCGGGTGGCACTAAATATATATATATCTGGAAAAAATTTTAAGTCATATATTCCATTAAGGTGGTATTTAGATATACTAGCTACAAAAAATTATTCAATTCGCATAACTCCTTCATAGCATCCCCAATCTACTGTTTATTAACATAGTCTCAGTTTTACGTGTTTCTTAAAACCGCGTGCATGTGGGTGGGGGTGAGTAGGAGAAATAAACGGGTATGCGAAAGTAAAATAAATGTTTTTATTAAGTACAGTGGAGCATCGTTTATACGACGCCGAAGGGACCACCGAAAAACGTCGTATAATCGATTTTTACTTCTAAAACTGAAACTAACTCTGTTTTCAGTTAATTTTAATGTTTAACGTATTGATTTACATAAATTTCTAAATTAGACAAAGCAAAACAAACAAATAACCAAAGAAGAAAAATTGCAGTGAGCAACTTGAATGTATCTTACCTTTAATTATATTTTCTTGCTATTAGTCTCTACAATGCTTTGAATAGCGAGTTGAACTTACTGCTTTCTATGATGCAATTTTAGATTTCTAATCACGGCCAAATCTAATGGCTGAAGCGCGCTTGTGCAATTTGCAGGAAAAAAAAGAGAGCTTTTACATTTTCCAAAATAATTAGTATCGATGGGTGCGCTGGACATTGGTCGATGAATAGCAAAATTTTTCGTTTTTGCCTCTTCATAACATTGTCTAGTTTTTTCAGTCATCTAGTAAAAATTACGTTCGTCATCCAAGCATTCTTGTTGGCACCCTTTTCTGTATCATTCATATTGGCAAATTCATCCCTTTTTCAAAATACACGGGAAAAATAAAGAATTAAATAAACGTGAACAAAATCTAAAAACCGACGTATAACCGATTCTGTGCGTCGTATAAACGATATATTTTTACAATAAAATGAATAGGAATGATTTGGGACCACACTAAAACTTCGTATAAATGTAAACGTCGTATAAGTGATCGTCGTATAAACGATGTTCCACTGTAATCATTCGTTGGAAAACAAGAAACTAAATAATCCAAAATCAAAATTTTCTTTACTCTCAAAGGCTAGGGAAAATCTTGCAAACAAGTCCTGATGAACTCTTAAGTTACATATAAAAAGAGAAACATAAGTAATTACAATTGATTCATTAGATATGCGGAGGGAAAAATATGGTTCTCACACTTAGTAAAGGGAAAAACTTGAATGTTTATTTTTGCATACTTGAATCTAAATGTAGAATAAAAAGACAGGTTGTGAATAATAAAGTGTAAGAAAGCGTTTAATTTTGAATCATAAACTAAGAAGAATAATTTAGATATAGCAATAACTATTAAGATTAGCTGTAGAGCTTTTTGAAAATAAATTCTGTAGCTTCCCTAGATAAATTTCTTCAATAAAATCTATTTTTATAGATTTTAAAAATATTTCTCGAATTTTAAATTGATTTTAATATGATACTATTTCTTAACTTTTTATTTCTTTGCAGATTTGTGCTTGGTTAAATGTATTTTTTTGGATTTGTCTGATAGTTTTGGAAGCAGTTAGGCTAAGAAGGAATCGTAGAGCAATTTCTAGAGAAATATATCAAGATCCAAATTCATCTGATGTTGTTAATATTGGAGTTATAAATCCTACAGCTTAATAATAAACACAGAAAAAGTACATGTCTAATTTTGCATGTTAAAAAAAATTGTGATATTACATTCCAGTTGCTTAATGAAACTAATCATTTGTAATAATGAGCAGTGCATTGTTGAGCACAGTTTTTCTTATTTATTTTATAAAATTTTCATTTAATCCACTTGATTTTATTCATTTATAATCATACTATTCTTTGAAAGTTAATGTTATTGTAATAGTTTAATGAGACTGTAACATTAAATTTATTTTCACGCATCAATCTATCACTGTAAAATAAAATTAAAATATAATAACTGTTTTTACTATGTGTTAAATGTGTACTTATATGAAATCAGTAAGTGCTATAGCTTTTTTATAAATATAGTTTTAGTTACTTACTCTCTTTTATATTATATTTATCATGATATGTGCAATATTTTTTTATGGCTCACACACAATTTAAAACATATATGCATAACTTTTTTCATCAAATCAAAAAAAAAATATATATATATATAATACTAATAATACAATACAGCAATTCCATTAGAAATCAAGGAATATAAAGTTTATTTTAGTCACTGACTTATAGTTCAAAAATCAGAATCAGATATATATATATATATATATATTTACACAAATGTATATTTTAATATAAATATATAATACACGAATATATATTTTATAGCATATGTGATATTTTGAGACAAGACAAATGTTGAGAGTATTATTTATTTTTTATTCCTGATAAATATAAAACTTCTTTCTGAAATATTTGCTAATATTAAATTTACTATGTTTATTTTAGCTTTAAAATTCAACCATTAACCCTTACTGATGCAAATGCCCAGTCTGAAAACACTTTTCCAAAAAATAATGCTAAACACTAGAAATCACTACTTGCTTCTAAGCATCAATTATCTTTTAAATAACATACCAGTGGTTTCACTACAGCGCGAGAACGCAAAAATCTCGCATATTTTTTTTCTTTTCTCGCATTAAAAAATTATTACTGCCAGAAATTCGCGCATTCTATAAATCAATTTCAAAATTCGCGAATTTCTCGCATTTTGGAAGAAGCTTCGAATTACGCTATTTAGAATAAAATCCGTTTCACTTTTCTTCCTGGATCTTTCATTATTTTCAACATTTGCTCCGTTATCTAGCTTCCCTATTTACCAGTATTGTTCAGAACCTTTTCGAACAACAGAACACAACCGAACCACGGAACCCCTTTCAGAACACATTTCTCTGCAACCACGTGTTTACCGTAGGTAAGGTTTTTTCATGTAAGACGTTCAAATTTTTTATGCACTAATGTAAGATGGACAAATACCTAGTAAAGGCAAAATCTTCTATGATGATGCAGCAAGAATATTCAATGCTTTAAAAAATAGAAGACGTTAAAAATGTATTATAATAAAAGAAATGATTTTTTTTTCAAGTCTATTCGTGTTTTTTTAGTTTTTACAAATCTCACTTAGCTTTCTGAAATCTCACCCTGTTTTTGAGAAAGGGTGAGAAATTCTCACCCATTTTTTTTCTATGATGAAAACACTGCATACAGATCAAGTAAATCTCTTCATTTAAAATACACTTCCTATGGCCGCAGTTTCCAATATGCTGATTAATTAAAATTTTCAACCAAAATCTGCTGTGCTGGAAAGGATTACCAATTGAATAATCATTGTCCATTCTTAGAGTGTTAGATTTAAAAATATTTTGATATTGAGATGTTGTACAATTTGTATACAGCAATTTTTTTTAAAAAAAGAAGAAAAAAAAATTTTTTTTCAATAATTTTTCCAAAGAATAATTGTTCTACATAGCATAGTTCTTTTTATTGGTTATTTTATAAATATGCAGACTAATTTTTGGTCAATGTTGAATGCTTCATCTTTTTACTGTTTAATTATCTCTATTGTATATCATATCTTCTGTTATACCTTCTATGGACTAACATGAAATAAGAGTTACGCTTTGATAATTCAAAACTATAAGAAGTAATGAAAAAGTTGTTTACTTGTAGCACTTATCTACAAAATTCAAGACATAATTTCTGCTTGCCATCGTAATCTGTAAACAGTTTAAATACTGGTACATTGCATTGGGATTTCTTTAACTAGAGTGTTTGTTACAAAAAAAGTGCCTGCTTATAGTTAAAACAAAAATATATTACCATCTCTTTCATAAAGCAGCTGCTAAGAAATTACTTCAGTCCATAAAGAATTACAATCCTTTGTTATTAAAAGCTTATTTATTAAAAATAATTTGTTTACACATTTTAATTTAGCCATCAAATTATAGGACTTTGTTCTCTCTATCTCTTAAAATTGATTAATTGATATATAATTTAATAGTTCATATTTATTTGATGGTTGCTCAATATTCTTTTTAAATTTGTTTTTTGACTTTGCACTTATTAGATAATTAGGAAACCCTTCAAGATCTGTAGAAGTTTTTTTTTTTTGAAGATTTTCTTATTATTATTTGAAGATTATTAGAATATTTTGCTGGTTTCTGTAATGTGTTAATTTACAAGTTCTTTTTACTTCTTTAATTATAATAATTGCAACTTTTTATATTAGAAGTTGAGAAGTTTTCTATCTTATTTCCCTTATCAATGCAAATTATGATAATTCTGCCTTTATGGTGATTCCTAATTAAACGTTATTATCAAAGTCATTGTATATATTTCATTTTTTAATGCTTCTTGTTGTTCATAATTTAAAATTAACATACATTCTTAAAATGCTCTTGTTTTTTTCATCAGTGATTTTTGTTACTGTTTGAGTTGTTGTTTTTCTTTTCAAAAAAAGTTTAATTAAGTACATTAGAAATAATTTGCATAAATATTTTGTTTTGAAATAAAAATGCTTAAAGAAATTTCACTGCTTTCTCTGTAATTAATTATGAACATTATTGTTTTGTACATTTCCTCAAAATTGATTTCATCTAATAAACTTGATATTTTTTGTTCACAAAAAAGTTAGAAATAGGGTAATTTCTGATTGCACAATAATACTTAAAAGCGCTTATTTTTAACATCCCTTTTATGAAAAAAATTGAAAGGATTTATTCAAAATGTAATATTTATAGTCAGAATTTTGTTTGTCTTTGAAATATACAAATAACACAACTTTCTTTGTGTATTTTGGACAAAAATAAATTACAACATTTGAGTATATTAGAATAGTATTCTTAGTATAGTAGAATTGCTTATTATAAGAATCTAAAGAAATGATAATGCATAGCCAAAAGAAGAAATGTCACTTAAATTAAATCTACTATCGAGCCAAATCGAAATCAGATATAAAATTTTACATTTCTTTGAATAATTCAACCATTGGTAGCATTCCATACTAAATGCTATATGTTACTGAGTATAACTTTACTATTGCTAACTTTGGTTAGAGTCAGTTTCAAAGTGCATGACAACATCTAAAAGATTGTCTCTTATAGATAACATATTTATAAATTTTTACAACATAGCACACTTTAGAAATGTGTGAAATTAATTTCTATGGTAGACAGTATTACAGGCCTCACAGTTATCCTGTATTTCCTTTTTTTTCTTCTATTTTTTAAAAAAATTCCATAAATACCACACTTCAAAATGAATTCACCAATTCCTCTAATCAAGAAGTAAATTATGATCTAGAGAAAAAAAAATAAAACATCGCTGTTTTTCCTGGTGCAAAACCCCACTCACTAGTCATGAAAATCCTCTGCTTTTCCGCTTTTTTAACAATTGTTACCAGACCTCCAATTTTTGTATGATATTTATCCGATTTTCGCCGTTCTTTGGTTAAAAAAATTTTGATATCGCGGATGTAAAATCTAATGTTTTGCGGTTACGACAGCATTTTACTACTAAAAAATCGTATATATTTTTCTTGTGTCACGTAAAGTAAAAAGATAAAACTACCGCCAAAGAATCTGAATCTTAGTTTCAAAATACGAATAACTCTCGCATTTGAAATGGAATGCATCACAACAATAGCGAGCCATAGAGTGATTATTTAATTGCTATAATTCTAAATTTGTGAATCGAAATAGTATTATATCAAAAAAGAAGCCAAATTTTATAAACCATGTGGAAATCCGTAGCAATACTAATTAAAAATTTGTTCGATGAAAGTGGATTTACAACCCTAGTAGCACACAATATCGATCGATTTCGAAAAATCGCCGGTTACTATATCGAACATGATTGTTCCGAAACATTGATCTATGTAAAAATGTCAGACTTTTACTCATATTGTATATCGCAAAAATGATATCGGTCGATGATTCAATAATGACGTAGAGTAGTTATATATAAGTCAAACTCGCGGCCGGCGGGCCGCATGCGCCCCGATTTGAACATTTTTGTGGCTCAGTCAATATATCCGACGCAAAATAAAAATAAATTAGAAATGTGAATTAGAAAGGAAACTAGCATATAAAATTATAATATACTTTATAAACTATACGGATCATTCTAAATTGTACGCGCGAAAATGTAAAATTCTAATTGGCTTGCGGCACCTGTAGATACTGTATAATGCCGATGAATGTTTTCATAATATTAATCCGTAAAAAGAAACAATTGTTTTTATATTCATATATACGTAAAAAAAACATTTGCAAATGCTGCAGATCAGCGATTGATATTTTTGCAACGTTATTCACAACAACAAAAATTCTTGGCAGAGACGTAGAATGTAGTTTGATAACCTTTTGATACTGTTCAGCATTTTCAAAAATTTAATTTGCTGCTTTATAATTTAAATTCAAATTTAATTCGATGAATATAGGTTTTGTACTATAAAATTAACTGAACCTATTGCGCAAATATAAGTTATATATTTTATTTTGAACAGTAACAATTAAATTTTCAAGTATAGTTTAATGTGGAATAAAACACCTACATTTAATAAACTAAAACTGCAAATGCTTTTGAACACAGTTTAATGAAATATTAAAAATACTGTCATCTCTATATCATTTGTTTTTCTTGTTAATGAGATCTGAAAAAAGCGAAGTCAGATTTTCTGAAAAAACATTTTATCTGTCTACACAATTTTAAAACACTAGAAATATTCGCGTAATTATTGAAATCATAACTATTTCGCCCAAGGAATGACTTTTTATTTCAAATTGTAAATATCACAAGATATGAATAAAATGTTTAACTCAGATTTAACTAGAAATTTACCTTAACATTTGTAAAATTTCAAAATGTTTATTAACAATTTAATAAACCTTAAGTTTAAAAATTATAGGACATATTATGAGACAAACCTATTTTACATTTGTATAGATTCAAGCTAAATAAAAG